ATTATTGTAATATTGTGAACCATTCTATTATTTATGTTTGAGATAAACTACTTTTTCAACATTTCTAAAATAATAGCTTTATAAAAATGAATGCAAAGATATTTGAAAATAAATTATTAGAACAGTTTTGATTTTTTTTTTTGAGAGTCATTACAAGTTACTTGTTAAATAATAGATATTATCATGGTATGATTTTATAGTTGTGAAAAATTAATGCAAATTCTTATATTATTTATAATTTAACTATACAAAACATTTTCTGAATTTTCTTGTGCCATAAAGCTCTAAATCATATATACCATCACTATTAACATAGAAACCAGAGTGCCTGTTGTTCTAATATTTTTAATGATGATGATGATAATATTAATGTATTGTTAAATATAATGTATTGTCGTCTAACTTGTGCACAAATTATTAAAATATTTGATACAATTAGAACACATAAATTCAGTTTAAAACTATCTTATTTATAATAGATGAAAATTTAAACAATGAACATAATAATGTGAGGTCTATCGACAGCTTCACATGGTGAAGGTTCCTTTCTTACAGTTAAAGACAAGGTTACTCACTGTTCTCACTGTTTAGTCAGGATGATGTGAGAGGATGGACCATATGGGGGCATGGTGGCAGATACGAAGACATACAGTTTGATGACTGAACCAACATTTATTGTAACAGAGTATGCTTACAATTTATGGTCACTTTGAAACTGTTTGAGGGTAGAAGGGAACAAACTCCAACTCCAGTCCCCCATTGTGAAGAGTGAAGATGAGCGGAAAAGTCCAGTTTACTCTATCAATCCTTCTATTGGAGACAATTGGCTCCAGGCACTGTTTGGTTTTGCAATGGAAGAAAGTCCTTGCAGAGGTGCTCAGTAATGTTTGTAAGAAAGGATTGGGTTATCAGACTCAAAGGACCTCATATCCTTGAGAACATGAGTTTTTATACATTTTGCCCCTGAATTCCAAATTTGAATTGGTCATGATCTACTGCTTCTCCCATCCCAGTTGATCCCTGATCTTTTGCTATGGCCTGAATTTGATTTGCAGATGTGATGACCATCCCTTTCTTCCCTGATGCAGACCTGTTCTCTCCAAAGGGATTTGGTTACACTTCCTGGAACAATCACCTGCAAATTAGTGAAAGTGGCAATTCTCTTTCTTTTCAGAGAGGATGCTACTGTTTTTACAAGGTCCCCAGCTACACTTCTATTGAATGAAGTATTTAGTTTTTCACTTTTGACCAGCTATTAGGTGTCAAACAAAGGTTTACATCACTATCACTTCCTTTTGCTTATGCAAACATTGAACAGGAAATGTGACAGATAAGTTTTATAACATTGAATTCCTTCATTTCCATTGACTTTGTGTGAAGGATATATTGCTCGAATATTGACATCAATTCAGCAGTTACATTCCTTGCACCATTGGGGAAGGTCTAGACCTCACAACAATTGAGAACTTTGATCACTAGTTCTAGTATAATACATGTTAATCTTTACTTCATTTAATTTTGGTAATGTTTTGCCAGTTACAATCAAATATTTATTTTTTTGTTATTGTATAGTATAAATATATACAGTAGCCACTATAATTAGTACAACACTTGGAAATGTAAACCAAGTTTTCAATTTGAAGCCCTATATCAGATCAAATATAAAGCAAGAATAACTAAGCTTACATCATCTGAAAGTAAATTTAATGAGGAATTAAACTAAATTAAGTTTTTGAAAACACTTTATTCTTTGTCATATATTAGATAAAATTATTATGAAAGTACAAATAACAATGAATTTATTAGAAACATTTCACTGGTAAACATGAAGTTACATAATGAAAAACTAGATTTTTAAAGCAAATTAATATTTGGAGATTGAGGGGTCAAGGCAATTTTTGGGTATTATACTACTAAAATCACTGTTGAACACATCTTGCAAAACAAGGGGAATTATCCATAAAGGTAAAATTATTGTGAGGGAAAAGCTCAGCTGCAGAAAACAGCAATTTCCACTCCAGTATTTCAGCATATTTTGCACCATTCATTGAGCCCTGGACAATGCACATCTGGCAATCACACCTGACATGCAAGCTCAGATCATGTTTAGAGGATATTTGATGGTAGGAACATTAAGGCAGGAATGAACTCTTTGTTTGGTTGTTGGCAAACCTATGTGCTGTCATATAGGAAATTGAGAAGAGTCTCATCACCCCAAATGATTTTCCTCCACTATTCCACAGTCCAATTTTTGTGCTGTTTTGCCCTTCAACATGTCAATAGCATTGTTTGGTAACCAGTGGTTTTCTTTGAGCTTTACAAGCTTCCAGGCTTCCTAGGCAATAAAGGGTTAAGTCAACATGAAACTGTGCATGCACTAATTGTAGTTTTCTGACTTCTGGCATTGGAGTTTATCACAATTCAGGCACTGATCAGATAGTGACAGCTGTCGCAAACTTCAATCCTTCCAAGATGATGCAATTCTTTTTTGATCTATATGTTGTCTATCGGCAACCTCATCAGTAGCTTTGTATCTTTTGAGAGTTCTCAAAACAGATCAGGCTGAAACTTTAAAACAGTAGCAATATCTCGATAACTGTGGCCTTATTCTCTTCAAAAATAGCTATGTCCATATTCTCATCAGTAAGACCTTTGTCTCTTAACACGACAAATGATGAATGAGAGTAAGTGTCTTTAATTTATATCTAAAAGGAAAGTTATAGCTGTATTCCATGCTTTACATTTATTGGTTGCTTGTACTAACTAGTACAAAACACTAGCATTTGCTTGGACAAATTGAACTTAAAATGAAAACATAAATGACAGTTAGTTCAATTTTGTTTTTTTCCCCCATCTTTTTTTTATGTCTAGTTTTCAATCCGAAATATTCTTCATTAAATTTGCTTTCTGATAGTACATAACTCTTTTGTTTTCATTTTTTTATTCAACACAAAAGCAGGGAACAGAAACACAAGTTTTCCTGAAGTGTGCACTATTTATGGCAGCTATTGTACATCTAAAATGAGCAAAGGTTTATTTAAGATTTTATTGCTGTACATGCAAATTTATAGTATTAAACGATGAATTGTAAATAAGAGATTGTTACTTAATTGATATAATTACATACTTTCAAACTAGAAAATTTTTGCAAATGCTAGAAAATAAAAATTATTTCTTAAAAACTCAGAATTATACGGGGTGGCCAAAGAAGTCATTTGCCAAGTGAGGAATGAAGACATATTGAAAATTAAAGATGAAAGACACAATAAATGACTTTAATTATGTTTAATACAGTTTGTGACAGGTGGGTTGAGACTAGTTTTGAATTTGGAGTGTTGTATACCACAATACTCATCAACACCCTTGTTTAAAGTGTTATCCACAAATCGAATACAGTGTTGTATTTGTGTGGAACTTCACATGTTACTGCTACTAGAGTCTTGTGTGGACTGTTGTGAAGAGTGGTACCGAGTCATTATTGCACCTGAAACAAGAAGGTGGTTTGCTCCATTTGGCAAGCGACTTTTTGGCTACACTATATATACATATACTACCCTGATTTCAATAGCAGAATATTAACAACGTGTAATTTCATTGTAAAAGATTCTTTTATTTATATATTTATAATTTTTCTTTATTTAATGTACAAGATAAGTAGAAAAACACTTCTTGAACATAACTAACTATAAAAGTATTACAGTTATTTTTCACTTCTGTTATTCTTTCTCTCATCTTCAGGTATATATTAAAGTACTGTCACATATTGGATTCTTTGATTATTTACTGTTCTAAATATTGTATTTATATTTATTTTTGACATTTGATAGTTCTCCATTACAGTTATGGCTGTAATAAACAAAAATTTTCTTTATTCTTAACATTTTTGCCAATTAAATTTATATATTTACACATTTATGTAAAAATAGTTAAGGTTTGTTTATTGTTGTAAATTATTATTTTTTTCATCTATATTTGTATCAAAATTTTGTTAAGCCAAGCATTTTAAAATACAGAAACTTGCCCAAAAGTCTAAAAATAATGTATCAACAGAAGCATTACTTACGAGACTTTTGACTAATTTATGCTTTGAAAACTTGAAGTAGTAACAGATGTCCAACACAATAAATGAGACAAACCTTGAGAAATATTCTAGGAATAGATGGGAGAAAGTAGAACAATCATAAAGTATTAATTTTAAGAAACAATCAATTTTTGCCAAAATAGGTTAATGTGCATCTTCCTATTTATTGAATTGCAATTAAAAATATGAAATCTTTTTATTCTAGGAATTTATTTTAATACATTTAATGGAACAAAGTATTTAATGTTGCTTGCTTTTTAGAAATTAGTGTGTAATTTTAGCCAAATCTTTCTGAATTTTTAAAAACCATAATTACATTTTAATAAATTATTTAAATAATTATTTTAAAACAGTTTTGTAAGTAAGATATAGCTATGTTCTTATAATAGATAAATAAATATATGATTAAGTTGAAAAATACTTGATGTATTGTAATTATCTGTATGCTTCATTGAACCATTTTATATAACTTTCATAAAAATGTTTTCAGAATTTGTTCTAAATTATACTTCTTAACATGGAGTGTATTGACAGTTTTCATTTCTACACTCCTCAAGAGTGAAATCACAACACCACAAAGGAATGTGCATAGCTACATGAAAATTTCAGGACTGGTTGAGATGATAGACATATGCAAATGATTAAGTTTAAGTACACATCGGGACATTTTCAAAGATTGGACGTAGGTCCAGTCTTTGCTTCCAGAACTATTACATGACATTTAATTAGTAATTAGTAGTGTTTATTTAGCCCGATATAATCCAGCAATTATTTGGTGCTACTAGTAGAAATATTGTATATATTATTTCAATAAAATGATGTCAATGCTTCTTGCATGTATATTTACAGTAATTTAAAATCTCTTTAACAGTTCAAATTTTTTATTATCTTTTAATAATAATCTGTAATTAAATTATTATTGTTTTACATAGCAATAATCTACAGCATACCAAATATTAAGATTTTAATCAGTGTTTTAATTTTTATAGGAGTAAGAGATTACATTCACGTTATGGACCTAGCGGCAGGACACGTTGCCGCATTAACTAAAATGATGGATAATAATTTCTTTGGGTGCAAGGTAATTTTTTAGATTTTATTATTTTTATTTCTAATTTAGTAGTATTAGATTTTTGTTTCTAATTTTAACAAAACAACATTAATATTTAATGGTATAATATGTAATACACTCTTAAAATCTGAACAAATTAATGATAAAGATATTTGAATTAGTAGAAAATTTGTCTTTCCAAAACTAAGAGAGGATTTTCAAATGAAATTTGAAATATAATAGCATTATTTAAAATTGATAGCATATTTTAAATGAGTAATATTACATTATAAAATCATTAAAGATGTCATTCATAAAGTAGAAGCAAGCAAAAATGAATGATTTTTTAATATAAACAAAACATTAACTTTTGTTTGTTTCTATTTGAAAAGTGACAAGAAAAGCTATAGATAAGTGTTTCTATTTGAGAAAGTCTGAAGAAGAACTATTCAAGTTTTCAAGTGTTCTCTCTGGATGTTGGTTTGAAATATTGAGTGTTCAGATGACAGAATATGTACTACAGTTAAAATAAAATTTGAAAGTTGTGCTAACTCTTTACAAAAACTTACAAAATATATTAAATTTGTCAGTGTGAATTTATATATTACTATAAATGGATGTTGAAAAATAAAAATTTAACAAATATATACTTTTTTCATACTTAAGTAACATAATTTTAAATAGTTTAAATTTTTTTTATATGGTAATATTTCTTAACCAGTAATATTCATGCAATAATTCATATATGACATGTTTAAGTGATATATAATTAAAGATTATTGTAAAGATACTGTTTGCATCAAATATATTTACAAAAAAATACAATATAGTTGTTTTAGTTATAAATCAAGTTTACATAATGGGAATATGGGTATTTGGGTTCAGTTTACAAAAGAAAGCTTTTTTTTAATTGCGGCATATCAGAAATAACATCAGAATTTACCATAAATCTAAATCAGATTTTTGGGCAATATTTAAGCTAATTTTTAATTAATCAAATAATGTAATTTAACATAAAAGTAAGTGGACATGTCATCATCTAATATTCAGATTAATCACATGAAATTAATTTTGAATTTTAATTAAATTTAGAAAATTTTTAATTATTTCATGTGAATGAAACTAACTATATTTAGCATTTTCAATTTATAAAATTTGCCAGATGGTAATTTTTATATTAATTAAAATTGGATCTAAAGTTTGTTGAAACATCTTTTTTATTCATTTTCACTTTCTGGATTACATCTCACCCCTATCTGATCTTTCCTTTTAGGCTTCTTGGTCATCAGTTTAAAAGCTCACTTAAAATGTGAAAAATATATCCAGTTAAAAAAATAAAAATACTTTTTTAAAAGTTGAAACTAAATAGATGGCTTTTTTTTCCATTTATACACATTAGGATTATACTGTTGCTTGAACTTTTATCCATTGAAAGAAGTGCTGGTAATATGTGGTTTTTCAAGCTGTTCCCTGGTAATGAATTTTTGTAAAATATTTTTAATTTATAAAATTTACCAGAAGGTAAATTTTAAACTTTGGTAACTGAGTAGCCTTAAATGGGTAATTTGGGTCATGGCAGGATTATTCTGGAATGTGAAAACGAATAAAATATTGATAGACTTTGTCTTCAATTTAAATTATATTTAGCATATTTTTATTACAATATGGCATAATATTGTAATAATCAAACATAACTTGGAACTTTGGAATTTAACAGACTAGCAGAGCTTTTAGTATAAAGAAATAAAAGATGATAACCATTACATCTATAAATGTAAAATTATAATTAATTAATTATCATCGTAAATGTAAATTAAGACTTCTGATACAAAAATTTTATGTGAAAAATTTTAGAAATATTTTAATAAATCTATTTAAAATTGGGTGACTTTTATTTTTTTTATATTAAATGGGTTTATATATGACTATAAAACTACATTAGCAAACACTGATGATAGAATGTATAATTATTCATTGATTCACACGAATATTACCTGTTAAAGAATAATCATTATTATATTTATAACTCCAATTCAATCGAGCTAATAAAGAGGCAAATTGAAGATATACCAATGTCAATGTTTATTGAATCAATTAAATCAAGCAGTGAGGAGATCAGACAATGTGCAGGTCAGATATAACATTGAATTGCCAGATGTTGTCTACCCTCATTCGTACTCTGGAGGTTCCAGCCACAAGAGTACCAGAATAAAATAGAGAGAGTTAACAGAAAGGGAATAGAGCCATAAAATGGTCAAATCAGGAAAAAATAGCAATCTCAAGCACAATAGGACTAACAATACTGAAAAGGAGATGAATTGAGAAATATCTTAGAAATAACGATCTTAGTCACAAAAGTTTTGGAATACAAGAGTTTAAGTTGAATAAGTGATAAGGTTAAAATATAATTTATTCACATTGATTATTGTAATTACATTAAAAATAGTTAAATTATTTTAACATAGTCAACAAATATAGCAGTAGCTAAACTTTAAAATTACTCAACTAATGACTAAGAAATAACAAGAAATTTTCAATATTAGAAACAGTATGATGTAATTTAATTACATCACACTGTTTCAGTATAATCTTACTGAAATAATACAGATATTACCCTCTTATATAGCAACTCTGCATGAATATGCCAGAATAATAATAAAAATTATTACTGTTTTTTTTTCTACTGCTTAATATTTGATCTTAGAGAAATGCCACTATAAATGATTAACTAATAAAGTTTAAAACATATTCAGAAAGCTTATCGTCATTTATCAGCACACTTTTACAAGAGCTATATATTATAAAATATTAAAAGAATTTTGTTTTTGTAGCTTGAATTAAATAGAGATTTATTAGATCAGTTAATTTCATTGTATCTCTGAAACATTAACTGGATTGCCACATGGTAAGACTTCACCGTTTGGCTATGGAGATTCAAGATTTGAACCTCATGCTTTCTCATTATGGATAATTTAGATTGGAGCATTGTTTTCCATTTTGGTCTTCTCTGTAGATTGGACTACTGCAATAATTGAAAATTGCACCTAGTTGCACGGCATGCCAAATGTCGTCCATCGATCGTCGTCGTCATCCGTAGAGCATTGAGCATAGTCTATTATTAACTAAATTGAGATTGACATTAATTTTATTTGATTCATTTTACATTATCACCCAATTATTCGGTCATTTCTCTGAATAAATTTTATTTTACTATTAAATTACATCAAAATTTTCAATTATAATTTCCATTAACTTTTAATTTTTTCCATAAAATGTAGTTAATTATCTATATCTAACCAAATTCTCTTCAATACAGAAGTGACCTATATTTTCTGGAAATAACTTGTATTGATTATGTATTTAAATTTTTTTTTAAATGATTAAATATTAAATTGAACTAAACTGTTAGGAATTAACTGTAACATGCATGAAATATTTTTAAGCGTAACCAAATAATATTTTTTAGTTTTAGTTATGAAAGACTTAGATTTTGTATTTTTGATTTTGCTTGCAAAAATGGATATATTTTATCAGTAAGTTTTTAATGATAATATTGACATTAATTGTATCAAGGAATGAAAATTTTTCTTAGAAGGACTGTTTTGCGTAGAAGTTTTGATGATTTATATAATCAAAATTGAATAAATTACTTCTTAGAATGAAACATTTCTACTTTATATTGAAGTGAATCTTATTTAAATTGATCTACACCTCGTATGCAGAGAGAACTGTTTTCCCAGTTATTTGAATAACTCGTCATACACTTATCCGGAATTGGGGCCAAAATGGTATTGATTCCTTTAAAATTTTCACAAGGAAATTATGGAATTTAATCCCTATAATTAAATTTTCATCCCTATAATCTGGCACAGTTATAGCTTGCTCAACCAAACCAATTTTGGATAAATTAAGTGTAGATCGCTATTAAAAAATAATGGAAAGAGAGGTGAATTAATTTATTAAAGTTTACATAATTTGCCTGTGTGTATAATAAATAAATTTTCAACCTCATTAACTTGAAAAATATTGGCAAGTTTTTAAATTAGTTCTGTATCATTGGAATTCTTTTTCTAAATGAGATTCTTTGTAAAAAAAAGAAATTATTAAATAATTATATTTCGTACGCTTGGTCTATATAGCATGGTTACATTTTCAAATTATAAGCAACATCCCAAATTGTATTCATTGATACATAAACAATGGGCATGTTCTTAAAAACTGTGGCTCAAGTATAAGATTATCTTACTCTCAAGACTAAACTAAACACATATTACTTGCATAATTTCTAATGACATTTTTTTAATGGTTTATCCGTACTTTGTTTGATACTTATAAATCTTTACGTGCACGTATCTATAAAATACTTAAATGAATTGGTAAAAAACAATATTACTTCATACATATAAAATTTAATACGTTATTTAATTAATATACAGGCTTATAATCTTGGCACGGGTTGCGGATACTCCGTGTTGGACGTGATTCATAACTTCGAAAAGGCGACGGAGAGAAAAATTCCCTACAGGATCGTGGGAAGACGTACGGGAGACGTGGACAGTCTGTATGCCGATCCGTCGATAGCCAAACAAGAACTAAAATGGGAAGCCAAGAGGGACTTGTTACAAATGTGTAAGAACATTTTATTTTATTTTATACAAATCAGACGCGCGGACGAATCAGATTTGATGTTACATTTTCGGTTTTTAAATGTGCTTTTGTAGGTGTTGATACTTGGCACTGGCAGTCAATGAATCCCTTAGGATTTTCTTCCCCCGAATCCGAGAACAAAATATCCTAGACATTGGGGAGGAAACGATTTTATACCACATGCAATTATTATAATTTCGTGCATAATAATTGCATAAACGTTAATTTAATAAGCAAAAATATTATTAACTATTCGGTACTAGTCAT